TCTAAGTGAAAACAGTTAACAGGTTCTAGTCGGGAGCTCCCGACTAGGGGATACCCTGAGCACTCTTATCCCAACACCAAATGCAGCTCGAGCGACACGCTCTTTTGCTTTAGTAGTAACATAGATACATTTAAAAAAAGGTCCCTTGGCAGGGTTCGAACTCGCAACTGACCACATTATTTGCTGCCGCCTCTTCTCAACAGCCACACCAGCAAAAAAAACATAGTTTCCTCGGTAGGATTCGAACTCGTAACAGACCGACCCTCGCTACATTTCACTACCCCTACCTAAGAATCACACCAATTATTAATTCTCAATGACAAAAATACGGAATTAAAATTGCAGCACAGATGCTGTTGATGCTGATCAAAAATATATATACTTTATGGGGTGTCTGATGCTTCCTTCTGCCTGTTACATACATTTGCACAAATACATTATATCCTTTTCACAGACTTGGGCAATAAAAATAATTTACTCAAATAATTTGTGTTTAACTTTCATATATTTTAAAGTGTTTGCCAATAAATTATTATTTTGCTTGATTAAATTTTCCTTAACTTTTAAATGTTTAATGTATTCAACATAGTTATTAAACGCCTTTACCTATAGTTCGAGTGGCCAAGGAAATCGATCTGCACACCCATACTTTCATATACGGCCACATGCACACACACACATACATACATACATACATACACGTATTCAATACGTGCTCCTCCTTTATTGCTTTTTATGCTGATTTTGTCGAGCGTTTCCGACTGCAGCTTAAGTGTGTGCCTATCTATCTTTTCTCCCTTTCCCTGCCTCCCACCATCATTCACGGTCTATGCTTGTGTGTATATGTGTGTGTGTGTGCATCCACTGCTGTGTGAGTGTTTGCATTGGTTTGGGTGTTGACTTTGACATTTGTTTTGTGTGGCTTATCCTTCACACTGCGCACCACAATAGCATCAATCGCCGCGTATTTTTTGTCATCTGTTTAGCCAAGTTTTCGTTTTCATTGTGTGTGTCGCTACAATGGCTTTTAAATGGACGCTCCCGTCTAGCCCCTTCCTCTGGTTGTGGCGCCTCTGCTCCGATTTCATGGCTGCCTACTTTATGGCCAATAAAATCTCAACGCCTTAGGCGGTACGTTCGAGTTTCAATGCAACTCCCCTTCGGCCCGTCCTAATATCTTACCCTAATCGCTTACAGTTGGCAGCATGGCATATTTATCTACGTAGTTGAAATTGAAAAGCTCACTGGCTCTTGCTGCCTTTTGAGCGCTGTGTGCTGGGCTTGGAATCGAGAAAACGAAAATTAAATACATACATATATATAAATATATATACATAACTATTTACTTACATCCATATACAACTGGTTTACATATATGTAAGAAAAGAAACATGGAACAGTTTGAAAGAGCCATTAGCCGGATGATTTATTTACTCACTGCGTGCGAAAAATTGAACTGGAAAACTGTGCAAAGTTCAAGTGGGACATTGCATTTACCCCGGTTATTATGATTTTCCATTTCGATAATTAAATAATCAGCATCACCAGCTGAGTTAATGTAGCCATGTCCACATGTGTGTTTCTGTGAAAACTGAATAAAGGGATGTGATTATTGTGTTTTCAACTTAAATTTTTTAATTTTAAATGTTTGTTGTATTGAATTAAAAATAGCATTCGTTTGTTACAACACAATTGGCTTAGGTGATATTTTGCCGAGCTTGGTTGAGTCCTCGGGCTTTATCGTGGACGTCAAAAGCGGCTTTTTTGAACGAGGCTTTTAAATTTGTGTACACCATATCATTTTGTAATCTTTCTCAGTTGCTGTCTAAATATTTAAACGAATATATGTATATACCTTGTTAATTTCGTAAGGTTCCGAATTTGTAAGTTGAGATGTATGAAATTCTTTAACAAAACCAATTTATGTGAGCTCAGAGCTCAGGTGTAATACGCAAAGCACAGCTGGCTTACTGGATGGGCTAAAAGCAAGTAAAAACACAAACTCTAAAATGTGAGGGCTGGAAAGGGTGCATGGTGGGAAGTTGGTTAGGACTTGATCTGAACGGAATGTAGTCGGTGCTACAATGTAAAGTAAAAAGTTTTGTTTATTAAATAAAAATAAATGCAAGTTAATTAATTAAAAGCTAAAAGAAGATAGAGCATGCACAGAGCATAATGCCAGCATGTCGATGTTGGCGTGGAAGGCTGAGAAGCAGCCCTGTGTGGCTAAGTGCTCCAGAAAGTATGTTAAGCTTAATTAGCAGCTTCAACTGATGCCACACGGTATCTTAGCCAAGTGCAGCTGCTCTGCCCAGAATTGCTACTCTGGTCTCGTATATGCTGCCTTATCCGGGCCATAAGTTTTCTTGCCGTTGCTTTTGCATTTGCTGTTGTTGTTGTTGTTGTTTTTATCGGCATGTGCGCCATAATTTGGCAACAGTTTCAAGCAAGAAGCATCAACAACAACAATGAAGACAGCAAACTTAATACAACAACCACAGACGAGGACGCACAATGCCAAGAGCAAAAACGTCGGCCACGTCAACGGCCAAAACAAAAACCACAAATAACTAAAACTGTGCATGGCAAAATTAAATTTGAAACAAAAACAAAAACAATAATAATAATAATTTTCATGACACTAACATTGGAAGCTGTGTATTTGAAGGCGTTGACTGAACGATGGCAACAAGCGAATTGTCGGCAAGTAACACAAATGCTAAAGATACAGATACAGACACAGATACATATGCCAAAACAATTGGCAGCTGACTAAAGCGCATTTTGGGGTTTGTTTTTGTGGATCCATGTTTGAAAATCTTCCGCTTATGGCCTGTCGCCACTTGTCAGTTGCGGCCTTCTTCCATGAAATTCCAATGAAAGATGCTAACCTGCATTTCGTCAATTGAAAGGCGCGAATATGTAAATTTTAAAACAAAACATTGTATCGATGTTTTTTGCGTTTGCTTAAGGTAAATTTTTTTTTTATCAATTTTCAACTTAAATTAATGGCAATCGGCTTGGCCACAAAAATTAATCAAACACCCACGGCGAAAAGGCAAAAGGCGTCGGTCGCTGGGTACAAAATTATAAATTTAAAAATTAATAAATATATAAAATTAAGGCAAGCATCGGCATCGGCAGCGCCGGCGGCAGCGACAGTGTGACGGTGACGCCAGCGGTTCTGCCTCTGCGGCAGCGCTTTGATGAGCGGTGACAAACATCTATAAGATGCGAATACATATTTTTAAACAAAATTATTATCGCATTTTTGCTTTTTTTTTCATGGTGTTCATGGTGTTTCTCGTGCTGTTTTCGAATATTTATGCGCACTCAATTTTTATTTTATAGAACTTAAAACATATATTTATATTTACACATGCACACACTTATATTTATTTGCTTTTCTATTTCCATTTCCTTGCAGTTGCTTAATTTGGAATAGCGCCAGGGCGAGGCACCAACAGCAACAACAACAACAAAGTCATATCGCCATATGCTTTGGCTCATTGCAGCCAACTTCCTTAACTGGCAGTTTCCATAATTAACAGTACTTTGGCTCTCAAAGCTGAAACCCGAACACAAAACACCGAAACGCAAAAAGATAGTCAAAATATATTTTGCTAAAAATTTGTCATGCCAACGAGTAAATCCAAAATGAAATACCCCTACGCAACTGGGCGTCTAATTTAAAGCTCGTGGCCGCCAAAATGCGAGTGGCCAATTTGTTGAGTGTGCCACAATAACAACAACAACAAAAACAACGACAACTACAACAGCAACAATATCTAACAACAACATCATAAAGGCGGCTACGTTGCGAGCGCTAAAAGCGTGTGCGAACATGAAAATAAAACATCACCAGGAAATAAATTCAGAAAAAATTATAAATATAAATACAGAAAACCGAACAAAGTCGCATACAACTATAGAATAGTCTATATATATACACAGCCTATATACTTATATACAGAAGGGAGTAAAAAAGAAACAAAACTACAAGAACAATAATAATTGGGACTTTTTTCGCATCTTAGTTGCTTGGGTGGGTAAAGGGAGCCTAAAATACTCACGAATACGACGATACATATAGGCTTAATGTGTTGTGAAGCGGGCAATATCAAGAGTGACATTCTTTGGCGCAGCTGCCGTCATATAAATCATTACACATATACAGGGTGACTCAAAGTGTTTGTTTTAGAGGAGTGCCAGTAACCCATAGGAGTGCGCTAGAACGCATCACGTGGTTAAAAGACATTATTATTTTTTTTTTGCAAGCAGCACATATGAAATTGATTAATTTCTGAATGTCGCCCAGCTAGGCACCCTATATAAAGACGTACGATTCATGGAAGGGCGCCAATTTAGTTTTGATTGTACAAAGGTTGATCATGACATAGAAATGCAACAGTGATTATTTAAATACCCTGGAGCCAGAGCAGAATCTAATAAGTGCATCGTTAGTACATTTCTAGAATGTGGACCGTCCAGTAGCAGACACCCTATATATTTAGGCCACTCAAACAAAAAACCAAAACGAATTCTACGTCAGCATATAAACAAATATTGACTAAAATCAATACATACGGCAGCGGTGGCAAAAATCCACACTAATAAATATATATATAATAACTTAACTCATACACATATGCACAAAAAGAAAGGAAAATTCAACGCATGATTTTTTATGCTTTTGTCGATTTTTTTTTTCTTTCTTTGCGTTTGAATGATTTTGCTTTTATGACAGAACAGCAAAAGCGTCGAAACATTTTGAGTTGCTGCAATATAAATGTGAAAACCACTTGCACGAACTATACCAAAAATAAATGAAAGACAAGAAATGTTAAAAATAAAGACTAAAATACTGCAATTTTGTGGCAGCATCAACACCAGCAGCCGCAGCAGAAGCAGCTAAGCGACGCGGTCTCCGCAGCAACCAAAAAAAAAAAAAAGGAAAAAAATGTATAAAATTAAAACGCAGCCGCTTGAGCCAAAAAAAAAACCAATCAACGGACAGAGACAGCTACAACAACAACAAAAACAATAACAACAACAACAACAGCAAACAGAATAAAAACAGAAGCCGCATAGCTAAAACGCCAAACAGTCCAGCAAACTCGGCCGCGGCAGCGACGACGCCTCCATAATAATATTATCATTAACAGCAACAGCAACAACAGCCACAAAGAGCAGCAGCAGCAACGACGTGAACTGAGTGGGCGTCGGCTGGCGTTGGCAAGGACAGCGGCAAGAGCGACACGAACGTGAACGTGGACGTTGGCGTTGACGTCTCCGTCTCTGCCTCCGTCCCTGCCGTTGTCGCACGGTGCGCGCCACATTGGCGAATCAATTTCCGTTGCGGTGGCCGTTTCAGTTTTGGTTTCAACGTCGCTAGCGCCACGCGTGTCGCGAATCCCTAATGGCGCACCTTCTCGCCGTCGGTGGCTGTCCAGCGAATTAACGCAGGCTCATGAGATTGAGACAAAGACCGACCCAGTACCAACACCGAGACGAAGAGTGAGACCGAAATCAAGGCCAAGTTCAAAAAGTTAAGCAAAGCCAAATACAGCCGCAACGGCTAAAAGTGAGAGAAAAATATTAAAAGTCGTGACCATAAACCAAAAAGAGAGTGTACAAATTTGAGCAGACGAACGTGTCCGTGCCCAAGTGAAAGTCAAGCCAAATGCAAGCCATGCAGGGCTTGGAGCTTGGCCTGCTGCCCGCATTGCCCACCGCAGCGGCAGCAACAACGATGCGGCACAGAACCAGCGTCACAAGGATACGCAAAAGACTATGCCGTTGCAGCCGGCGGCCAGAGGCTGAGCCAGAGCAAGAGCAAGAGCAAGAGACAGCGGTGCAAGCACGTTCAATACGTCGCTCCAACACAACGACTTCAAATAATAATCCCAGCCTCAATTTGACGCTGATCAGCGCCACCGCCGCCCTGACAGCGGCGGCTGTCTTGCACACAACGAATGCTGTGACTGCAACAGTTGGCGTTGTCGACGCCGTTGCACTGCCACTGCAAGGCACTGCCATGCCCATGCCCGCCCTAACACACGAACTAAACGCCACGCTGCTAAGCAGCACGGCAGCCGCGCTCCTAAATGACAGCAGATCCCAGCTTGACGCTGGAGTTGCGCCGGCCGGCGGCGTCGAGCATTGGTTCGACGATGCGTTCTGGGTGCTTAAGGCATTTGTCATGCTGTTCATCATCATAGCGGCCATTTGTGGCAATCTGCTTGTTATTATTTCTGTGATGCGTGTTAGAAAATTAAGGTGCGTATACGTAATGTGTCTAACTAAAGCTTAATTCTAATTTGGCAGATACAGCCCCTAGTCCACGGTCCCCAGTCCCCAGCTACCGTCTCCCTCACTTTGCACGCTTACATTCTAATTATCTGTGAAAAGCAATTAGCGTTGCTCTCTCTGTCTGAGTTTTTGTTGTAATTGCATAAAATTCCTGAAGCTGTGCCGCCTCCTGGGGCTGCCTTGATTGCCAATTTGCGCGAAAAGCCCCGCCAAGCCACCACCGCACCTGACGCAGCCTTAACACTTTCTAATTATTCCGCTTTCATATGCTCAATTTTTGTCAACTTCGCATAAAATTCATGCACGTCCGCCTGCCGTATACCTTGCCCGCATCTGTATCTGAAATCGTGTCCCATTCGTGTTCCTGTTTTTGCGCTCGCTTTGCTGCCAGCCATTTTACTTCCAATTCGCTTGAATTTTATGTAACTGCTTTGTTCCTTATTTATTTTGGCCGTAATTGAGCGTCTATCTACAACCCGCTACCCTCTCTGTGTTATAAACAACTTACATTTTCATGTTCCACAGTCTGTAATATTTGCATTTCTCTTTGGCCAGAGTTCTACAATACCATTTCCTCTTTTTCTGCTGTTACTGCAGGAAGGAAGTAGGAATGACTAACTTAGATGTATCCGACTAACATATACTCTGTTAAAACAAATTTCAGCAAGATATGGATTAAATCGCTCAAATTTTATTCTCTCCCATTTGTTAGAATGGTTGTTAAAGTAGTATCGGAAAAGTTAATTGAGAAAGTTAAACTAGTATCGGAAAAGTTAATTGAGAAAGTTAAGTCCCTAGCTCGGAGTGCTTATGCTAAAGTACGGAAAAACTAAGCCAAATAAGGTTCTCGCCAAAAAACTCAACTACACACAAAATCTAAATATCTGTTAACAGAACAATTAGCATGGAAATCCAGACTCAATGGCAATAAGATCAATTCGATTCTGAATACGTTAGGATGAAAAAATGTCTAATGTCGGCTACTAAATGTGCAAGATCATTAAAAAATACCCTCTTGGTACATGTATTAGCGCTAAAGGGTATAAAGGGAAGAGCTGCTTTGGCGCAATTCATTAATTTGTTGACAAATTAAGTTTTATGACTCTTTTTTAAATGTGCAAGCATACAATTTGCTTGCTAAGCGATTATTAATGGTCACGCTAGAGTTTTTAATTTTCATTTTTTGCTATTGTGGCGATTCTCCTAGCAATTTCTATTTAAAAAAATATATTCTGTAACAATACTTTTTCTATTTCCTTGTTACCAACTTTGCTAGAAAATGGAAACTCAACTGTGAAACGGTCTTCGAGCAAATGTGCTTTTACTTTTCTTAAATATAAGAATGTATATTCTCTAAACTTTGTTTTATTTTTTTATTTTTGTTTGTTATTTATGTGAGCCAATTGTGGAGCATGTGCCATATTTGTTAACTTTGATTTGAAGTGCCATGTTTAATTATAAACAGATAAGTCTACTAAGTAAAAAAAAGAATGGCTGACATATAAGTACAACTTTATGACGATTCTCTGAATTGAACTGCATAGGCAATGAATGCATTCAAATGTTGTTTATAGTTTTCATTTAATTTTTGGCTATTCATAGATGTGCACATATAAATTGACGTACAGTCCCAATGACAAGCCAATAAACCTTCGTATTATCAATTTGCAAACGAAATATAAATATAGCCACTCAACTATTCAGACACATGCACACACATACGCACATGTGGGAGAATATACACTTGTCAACATCTTAGCTAGACGACCTCGTTAGATGCGCTGTCAACTGGCAGCACGGTGCGGGCGGAGGTGGCGTCCTTCGCTCGACATTTATGTAGAAAGACATTGCCGTAAAAAAGTTTTCTAGTGATAAATGATGGGTCGTCAGCTTGGCTCGGTTCGTTAATATTTTTAGTTATGCCTTAATAACTGGCAGGCAAATCAATTTAGCGCTTCATAAAACCCACGGGACTTCCCCTTTCAGAGAAGGTCCGTCGGGCTCACATAATCAAAGTTAACTGCGTCGCACCGTTTTGCAGTCATGCAATCAAAAGTTGTTGCCAGCAAGATTTTGCCACACCCCCTTCAGGTTACATTCGCTGTTTTTCATAATGCAAATTCTTTTGTAGTAATGAAAACTTTAAATGTTCTTAGCAAAAGGAGTGCGTAAAAAAGGCAAGAGAAAATAAGGCGAACACACTTTTTTTAGATAGCAAAAGGAAGAATAACAAGAAGCCGTGGGGTTCGGGAGGTTGGCGTAATTAAGGTTGAACGTCTCTTAATTTATCTTTTTTGCTGCTAATGAGCAACATTTTATTTTTTAAGTGACTTGCGAGTCGGCAGTCTCAGAGCCTAAAAAATAATGATACTAATGCTCATCACGGTGCTTCTGCTGATGATGATGATAATAATAATGGTGAATCTGGGCTTCTACGTGCGTTAAGTTGACTTTTACCCAAGGCCACACGCCTTCTATATATATAAATCTAATTTCTTGCCAACATTAATGCCGTCCAGGCGCAAAAGATTTCACAAAATCCGAAAGCAGCGTGCGGCTTATAAATTGCCAGCTGATGTCGGCAACCAGCTGCAAATCTATTTATTGTTCTATGGTGCACATATTACGCATAGATGAGACGTTCCTTAAAACAATGCCATGAAGAATAGAATGTGGACACACAAAAGCAAACACAAAAGAAACAATAAACGACAGTTAAACTTATAAAAAATTCCAAAAAAAACATCATACAGTCGAAAAAAAGTGATGAAAGAATCTATAGCCATGCGAAGGCACGACTAGACGATATCCAGTATATATCCTAACACCTGCTCACACTCAAATTTAGGCACAAACTTACTTCTTCTATTCTATACTAGGCACAATCAACAATTGTTTCTTCAATTGATATTAGTGGATAAATATTATTACCGATCACCCAAATATGTACAGATCTATGTACATTTTGATCACAGTTTCAAAATTGATAAAGTCGTGTATGTATAAATAGTAAATCGGCTGTTTGTGATCATCAAGTATTTAAAGAATACAAATTTAAATAACATTAGTTCATAGGTATGATGACAAACCGACAACAGATACAAGTTATGCTCGCTTTTACCCATTTTATAGGGCAACCAAAAACAAAACAAGTGACACAACAGAAACAGAAGCCCCTCAGCCGAAACTTTGGCAATTAAGGCGGCTTTTGGTTTTTATGACAGCATAAATTTAAAATTTTCTATATGCCGCCCAATAAAAACGCTTGCCATCGTGCTTGAAATTATTTTCACATTTTTACGCTGTTGAAGATGAGCCACGAGCCACAGCTACAGTCGCAGCCACTGTTCTATATGTAGCTAGGGTGGCGTCTAAAATGTAGCAACCATTTGCCATTACATGGAGGCTACTGATTAACGCCGCGGCGCCGCCTTCTCTTGAAGGATGCACGGCAACTGTTTCCGGGCTTTTTTTTCCAACGCCAGCCGCTAAAGTGTTTAAATGGTATTTTCTTTCAGTTTGAAGAAATTTAATGGTTTAAGTAGGCTAGCTAAGGACGGCAATATATATAAATATATACAGAGAGCGAGCGAGAGGAAAGGAGAGTGATGGCAACGCAGTTGCAAAATGGTGGCTACTTATTGCAATTAACGGCCCAAAGCTCTGCGAGTTATTTAAGAGCTGCAAAAAGTAACGCTAGAGTAATAGATAAACAAGGCCGTTGCAGGCATCTTGCAACTATTTGCTTAGCCAACATTAATGTGTATTATTGATCGTTCAAACTCCCTAGAAGTTTATTACTTATACGCCATGTAAATCGTTTGATAGGAATGCATTGAATAGCTTCGCTACTAAACAGCTTCGAAAACTCCACATTCTGTCATTCCTGCTGCTCATTATGTACTGCAAGCCGAACGCCATATATAGAGTATTCATAAGGAGAAATTTGTAGCCTTGGTCAGCTAAGCCACATTTTTCTTTTCGATTCGTTGCCTGCCTTTTAATTATGTCCCATGCTGATGGCACAATGCAAACTAAAATAATTTGCTGGCATTTGCGGAGAGGCAGCAGTATAGTAGCTGCTTACCCCTTGGGGGTAATGGCACGCATTACAGATTGTGCAATGCCAGCACCCACACAAAGAAAGCACTAATACACTCTCACGGATACAAACGTAGAAGCGAGCTGGGGCATCAGTACGATATCCTGATTAGTCCTTTTAAAGGCATGTCGTAATATAGCCCTATTCATATTGCTTATATCTGTTATTGCTGTGTTGTTGTCATGATTCGTAATATCTCATGTTATTTTCGTTTTCTGATTGTGTTCTTTCTCTTTGCAGAGTTATAACGAATTACTTTGTAGTTTCCTTAGCCATGGCTGATATAATGGTCGCTATTATGGCCATGACATTTAACTTTAGTGTGCAAGTAACTGGGCGGTAAGTATAACAACAATACAAACAAAAACACACACACATACACATATTAAAACAATAAAAGAAAAAAAACAGCTGCAAGAATTACAGCTGCAACTGAACACAGTACCAAATAAAATGAACGGGGTACAGCAGCTTAGCAACGGCAAAGGCTGGTATGGCAGCAGGTTGGGTCGGAGGAAGCGTCCGAGCAAACAGCCAAAAAAAAAAACCCTGAAAAATGAAAGCAACATTTATTTATACTGCCAGCTGTACGAGTGGGCGTGTCTGCATATATCCCCATGTATGGTTATGTATATGTGGGTGCTAGTGTGTGTGTACAGACCTGTGTGCGTGATTGTATGTGCAAATGCAAATGCACAAAGTCATCTCGCTCTGTGTTTGAGCTCATATGCGTACGTTTGTGTTCAAGTATTTAAATGTGCGAAAATTAAACAAAAAATTAAAGCACAAATAGATTTTTCAGCACGATAGTAACACACGCTTCAATATGAAATTAATTTGTGATTTCTGTAATATTTACTTTGCAATTAAATCAAAAACAACATGTAATCGCAAAGTGTTATATACCACACATAAAGTATTTTTAGTATGGGAAAAATATATCTATTTTCTTTGCAAAGCTTAAAGTTTATATCTACGAGCGAAAATAATTATTTTTTAAAGATTCACATAAAAAGAAATTTCTTAGGGTAGTTTGCGAAAGTATTTATAGGCAGAAGGTTAAAAATACGCAGCAAGAAATGAAAGTCCAATCGAAAGATTTAAATGTATTATGCTTGAACTATTTTACTATATTCAAGTGCTTAATTTTTTTATATTCCTGTTAAGCAATTACGTTCGTTGTGCTATTTCAAACTACAAATATTTTTTTTGTTTAATTTCCTCCGGTAACTTTTTCATTTTGAGATAACTTGGCGTTGCAGACACTATTATATTACTGACCGACTTTGAGTTCGTAAGTGTATGCATACTTATGAAGAATGGGCACACACAAGCGCACTCTCTGAATTGCTTTTCTAGGGGACAAAAACCGTCAGAGTGTGACATGGTCATATCCTTCAAAGTGCCAGTGTGTGGGTGTCTGCAATTGTAATATGTGCATGTGATGTCATGTACAGATACGTAGCTGAGTTAATTATGCACAGCCGCTGCTTTAAGCCCTTACTTTAAGCTCGACTTTGGACTTAAGATCAGCACAAATGTTTGCAATGTCATCGCCAGCAAGAGCAGCGCATAATGTGCACACTTTCTGCCAGGCATAGGTCGAGGCACCAACGGAGCAGGGCAGATCCGGGGCAAGCCAGGCCAGGCCGAAAACTTCAGCAGGCCACTTGGCCACGAAAGTTGCATATAAATTGGCAATGGCCGCAGTTGGTGCGCCCAATGGGCTCGTTATCAACCATAGCCGCCCACTTGGCATTCATTAGCAATTTTACCTTCACTGTCGCTAGTTGCATAATTGACTCTGGCCCACGGCGCCGACGTGGCCATCGTTGTCGTGCCACTTTTTATATGGGCCAGCTTAAGCGCCAATTCATGACAGCGCCGAGCCGTATAACAACAACTAGCAAAAGGCTGAAAAAGCTTTGCGACTACGCCTACGACCATGTCTACATCCTGGCATTGCTGCAGGCGTGCGCACATACAGTTTCTGAATAGTCAAAAGTTTTTGAAACTGATGCCAAACTGGTCGCCCGATAATAAATTTTCATGCCCGCTGGCATAAGGAGCGAACTAGTCGAGCTGTTCGAGAAGGTCGGAGAAGGGCGAGAAGCGTCAGGGCGGTTAGGCGGCAACCAGCAGGGACAACAACGCGAGTTTTAATGAGTTTTTCATGCAACCCGCTCGTTTGCGCTTAAGTGTGCATGTGTGTGTGTGTGTGTGTGTTTTTGTTGGTGTCTGTGTTGGCGCCTCTGCCTGTGGCATCAACATCAACAGTAGTCATCCCCACATTTCAGTCTGTGTCTCACTGTGCATTAAAGCATTTTAATTTGGGCTCTCTGCGAGAGTCGCTTGCCATGAAAATGTACCAGTTCATGGGCAATGTCACCTGCTAGCCGAAACCAACAAAGATGAAATCGATAAACACATAAATCAGATATGCTGACAAGACAGTTAGTGGCTTTTGGGTCTAACCACTCCCCAAGTACACTTAAGAAACTCTGGGAGGCGGGGACTTTAAGTTTTCATAGCATACTTTGTGGAGCAAATATTGACTTTTTAAGAATAATATTATTGATGTAGTGTAATCTGCGGCAAGCTTAAACATATTATTTAATTTCATTATTTAATATTCCAACGACTTTCAGCTGGAACTTTAGCCCCTTCTTGTGCGATCTGTGGAACAGTTTGGATGTGTACTTTTCAACGGCAAGCATTTTGCATTTATGCTGCATATCTGTGGATAGGTGGGTACACACATATATACACACACATACACACACCAATATATATGGATGCGAGTGTGCGCTCATTTAATACTACATATGACAGCTCACTTGAAATAGTAATAACAGTGGCCCTGCAATGGCTTCCTTTTTGCAGATACTATGCAATTGTAAAGCCTCTCAAGTATCCGATTAGCATGACGAAACGCGTGGTTGGCATTATGCTGTTGAACACATGGATATCGCCGGCATTGCTCTCATTTCTACCCATTTTCATTGGCTGGTATACGACAGAGCAGCATAAGATATTTGTGAAGGAGAATCCCGAGCAGTGCTCGTTTGTGGTAAACAAGTTCTATGCCATCATTTCGAGCTCGATTTCCTTCTGGATACCGTGCACCATTATGATTTTCACTTATCTGGCCATTTTTCGTGAGGCCAACCGCCAGGAGAAACAATTGATGATGCGCCACGGCAATGCAATGCTCATGCATCGTCCATCGATGCAGCCATCAGGTAAGAGTCCTGTTACAAAGCTTAAATTACCATTCGGCCAGGCAGACTGTCTGGCCGGCAGACAGAAAAACAAGCGCACACAGCGAGGCATTCTGAGCCTGAAGCCGATGCTAATCCTTGCCCGTTTATCATGTTATTTTGCCAGGCGAGGCGCTGAGTGGCTCGGGCTCATCGAAAACATTGACACTGCATGAGGTCGAGCAGGAGCATACCCCGACAAAGGACAAACATTTAATCAAAATGAAGCGGGAGCATAAGGCCGCACGCACTTTGGGCATCATCATGGGCACCTTCATACTCTGTTGGCTTCCATTCTTCCTATGGTAAGTGAGCGATGCTACCCGCTGGCAAGGGACTCAAGTATAATTTATTTGAAGTTGCGCATGCATAATTAAATATTACTTATACGCCACGGAGTGACGTGGCTCTTAAATGGGTTTTTTGACAGTTACCATTTAAATGTTATTATTTATATTTATTTATTTATTTGACTTGACTCTTTCATGCATTCACAGGTATACGCTCTCCATGACCTGCGGACCATGTCAGGTGCCAGAAATTGTTGTCTCGATACTCTTCTGGATTGGCTACTTCAATTCCACGCTCAATCCACTGATCTATGCATACTTCAACAGAGATTTCCGAGAGGCCTTCCGCAATACATTGTTGTGCCTGTTCTGCAACTGGTGGAAGGATCGCCATATGCCACTCGATATTGACATACGACGCTCAAGTCTGCGCTACGATCAACGTGCCAAGAGCGTCTACTCGGAAAGTTATCTCAACTCGACTACGCCCTCGCATCGCCGACAGTCGCAGCTTGTCGACAACTTATAATACAGGGACGAGGCGCTGCTGACGCCCATTGCACAGCAGCAGCAGCGGCTGGCAACGGGCGCCCGTGGCTCCGGAGCTGACTCTAAGGCGGATCCCGTACCCAAGCACAGTCTAGGCAACCTGTCGGCCGAAGATGTGCAAGAGATACAAATCGAAATACCCATGGAATATATCAACAAATGGAACAAGAATAACAACGCAGCTGCCGCAACGGCCTCCAGTCACGTGTAAGGGACTGAGAATAGCTGATGACAACGGCAACAACAGCAATCCGGACATTGGCGAAGTTGCGTCAATCGAACAAATGCAATTACATTTTCCATTAATTTTTAAAATTAATATGCTGGTTGCATTCATGTTGTACATATTTAAGTCAACATTACGGCATTACTCGTGTACATAGTGCACTCTATAAACGCGTTGTCTGTTTGTTTTCGTTTTTGTTTTTCTTTCGAATTTATTGAGCTTTATTTTACTGAAACAGAGTGAACATGAGTAATTTATTATTTATTATTATGTCGTACTTGTTGTGCCGTCGTGTAAATAGTTAATTTTTTTTTTTAATTATATATAAATATATAAATTTTACAACTAAATTAAGCTCAGGTTGTAAAGCGTTCAGCGTTAACAGACATTTCTACGCCCAGCAGAACTATTCTTAATGACATCATTCAAAGGGCAATCAAAACATTATGTTAAGAGTCTATTTAAATATAGGTATCAGTACATAAGGCAACCAAGCAATAGGAAGAACAAAAAATAAATAGATATATAAATATATATAAAAGTATATATACAAACAAACAAAAAAATCTAAAATTTAAACTGTGCCAATTACCCAAATAAAAAATGATGAACTACTTATTTAGGCGATCTGTCGCATGAAAGAAATAAATACCAAATGAATAAAATACTTTAAAATAAATATATGGCACACAAGAATGCAATTAAATTGACGTAACTATACCCAAATATACATATGTGTAAGTAGTACATATTACATCTATATATAGAATAAATGTTATATATGATCGACAATCGCATGAAATAAGAATGCTCAAAACATGTATAGTAAATAGCGAAATTTCATAGTTAAACCAAATATAGAATGCATAAGTGAGTGGCAGTCAAAATCAAAACTAATCTAGTGAACTTCAAATAAAGCTTAACACAATATCTAGTTCAAGTACTATATACAATACATCGATATCGTTAGTTCATTAAACTCAACGTCAAGTCTAGACGTAAAGTTTTTACAAAGTGTTAAAAGTTAAATTGAAAAGTGCGTGTAAAAGTGCTGTGTGTATTCAATTTTTGGATAAATGGAAATTGCGTTGCAGTTCCTGGAATTAAGTTGACTGTGTAGCCTGTAAAGGGAAGGCTTGTGCACTGCTTACAAAGTCAGCAACTTGATTCCAGCAATTGCGGCCCAAGGACAACGTTGGAAAGTGTCAAATAACAAAAACAGGACATCAGAAAAATTTGAATGTGAATGCGAATATTCGTTAAAGGTTAACTACAGTTTGTAACGTTCTTAAAAAAAATGTATGCTCCTTTGTTATGGAAATCAAAAGCAAATAAATAACAATTGGCCATTGTATTCCGAATTTGTGACCACAGGAAACAATGAGACCCCAAAAGCTTCTTATTTCAAGAAACGATAGAACAACATAAAATATAACTTAAACATGTTGAATGTTCATGTTAATAAGCCACAAGAATTTTGTTGTCGACTTCGTTACTAGTTTACCGCTAAAGAAAAGCGGAAAACCACAAAAATGCAAGGCAAAATAATTATAAAGAGCCAAAGCTCTTTATGTAATTTATAACGTTTATTAATAGGCATCAATGTAAATGTATAATGTATAATAGTCACAATATGATTTTCCTTAACAATAAACGAATAAAGGCAACAAACTCCAAAGAACTTGTTATATTTTTATAAACAAATCAAAAGCTAAACTAATTTATATGTCTAATGATCTTTATATACTTATATACTTAGTATAATATTGTAATAGGATAAGAGCATCATTGGTAACCCTAGCCAGGGTATTATAGTGTCACTATCTATGTTAATTATAACAGTACGATAAGTAAATATCGATAAAGAAAAGCGGCTGCAGAGAAGAAGTGGAAGGCAGTCTCTCTACAGTACTAGCAGTAAGAAGACGTGTTGTTAAAAATAAAGAGGCAACCCGAACATAAGTTAAATCAACGAAGAAAATCATACTATTACAATATCAGAAGTGGGATTGACTCAGAAAAAAAAAAAAACACAACAAAATGGAAAATATAAATATAAATGACGTGTCAATAGCGACATTGAAAAGTTGGTTGGCATTACTAAATTTGCCAACAGAGGGTACCAAAACTGAGCTGATGGCGAGATTAAATAAGGTACCAGTGGATATCCGAGACGATGCTGCAAAGGAACTTGAAGTTCAACGTAACAAGGAACAGACAATTGAGGCTCAAAATGAGTTGCAAAACATAATGCAACAACAGCGTGACGAAATAGCAAATGGCGCCGAGATGCTGAAATTGATGCGTCTCGAAATTGAAGCGTCTCGAAAATTCCTAGAAGAATTTCAAGTAACGGTGAACCGCAACTCGCACATCGGCGGGAGCGACGGGGGAGAGCAAGAAAGTGAAGTCGGCGATTTATTGCAGCTAGAGGATGGTCACACTGAAGAAAGACCACGGTCGACGGATGGCAACGCTGGTGCAGCTGATTACACTGGAACGGATGGCAACGCTGGTGCAGCTGATCACGCTGGTGCAGCGGGCAACGCTGGGGCAGCTGGAAGGATCGACGAAAGTGGCAACGCTGTCGGAGGCAACTTAAATAATTGCATCCAAACTGGAGCGATGATGTTAGCCAAGGAAATTTTATTAGAATTTACTGGAGAAAGTGAGGTGCGTAAATGGGTAATGCAATTCTTCAATGTGGCCAAGATCTACAGACTAAATGATATGCAACAGCACTTGCTTTGTATAAGCAAATTGAAAGGCGGTGCTTTGAAGTGGTTGCATGCAGACCCTATGCGCATCATTGCTCCGATTGACGAGATGCTAAATCAATTGGTTTTGGCCTTCGGGGGAGGATTTTCGAAGTCGGAACTACGACAGAAGTTCGAGGATCGGGTTTGGAAACCAGATGAGGTGTTCGCCACATATTTTAGCGAAAAAAGCATATTGGCACAGGACATCAACATTGATGTAGAGGAGTTAATGGAGGGTATTATTCGAGGCATACCTTGCGAAAACTTGCGCACTCAAGCTAGTATGCATTGCTTTACCAATCCGGCTCAAATTTTACGTGCGTTTGCAGCTATAAAGTTGCCAATTAAACGGGTACGAAACCATGTAGTGAAACAAACTGCACAGGAAGCACAGGCGGACAAACAACAACGTTGCTACAATTGCAATGTTAAGGGCCATTGGGCCAAAGATTGTTTAAAGCCCAAACGGGAGGCAGGATCTTGCTATGCGTGCGGCTCAAAGGATCATTTAATAGCAGGATGTCCAAATAAAAAGTATGATATGGAAAACAAATATGTAAGATACTTAAGAATTCATTTTAGTAACTCATTTAACAAATCAATAATTGCAGAATGCCTTATAGACTCTGGCAGCCCTATTTCATTTTTAAAGGAAAAGTTTGTGCCATTAAAAGTAAAGCGTATGCCAGATGCAAATTCGTATGTAGGTTTAAATGAAAGTAAATTGAAAAATTTTGGAAAAATTTTATGTTTTATGAAGAAAAAGTTAATAAATGTTTATTTTAATGTTATAATTGTGGCAAATGAGTCTATGAGGTATGACGCTGTGCTTGGTAGAGATTTTATGGATTCTTTTGGTTTAAATATTGATTTAAGAACATTAAAAATTGTGAACGGGCATAAAGTTGATCACCAGAATAATGGTAAAAATGATATCATAGCTACAAGCTACAAAGAAAAACAAAAAAAAGTGGACGATGAAGATATAAAACACGAGCAAAATGAAACTATATTGTTAAATGATAAAATCGTTAATAAGGAAATAGTCAGTAATGAAACTGTTAGTGATGAATTAGTTAGTGAGAAAATTGTTAGTCCGGAAACGCTTGGTGATAAAGTTGGTAGTGATGAGATAGTTAGAAATAAAATAATTAGTGGTGAAATAGTTAGAAATGAAGTGATTGGGATCGAAACTGTTAGTGATGAGATAGTTAGTTATGGAGAGCTTAAGCTCGAACCTGATAGTGAAGAAGTTGTTAGTGATGAAATTATCTATAATCAAACCGGGATTGAAAAGGTGATTATAGAAGATATAGGAAACAGTGCAGTTAAAATTAATAATCATGTTAATGAAGCGCCAGTGAATAGCGAAATCATGGGAGTGTTAGAAGAGAATTTTGAGAAGGATATCTTAACAATAAGTTGGGAAGATTCTAACAAAAGAGAAAATATATATATTTTAAGTGAAGATATTGATTACAGCACAAAGTGTGAATTTGAAAATTTATTTGAAAATACTTATGTAAAAGCGAAAAGGCCAAATCAGCCAAAATTAAGACATGAGTTAAGCATAAGATTAGAAAACGACAAAGTATTTAATTGTACACCTAGGCGGTTATCTTATATGGAAAAAGAAAAGTTGCAAGAATTATTAGACGACTATTTAAAAGATGGAATCATTAGGCCAAGTTGTTCAGAGTATGCATCACCTATAGTACTAGTGAAGAAAAAAACTGGAGACATGAGGTTATGTATTGATTTTAGAAGACTGAACAAAATTATATGTAGAGACAACTACCCGCTACCATTGATCGACGATTTATTAGACAGACTATGCGGAAAAACAGTATTTTCAAAGTTGGATCTAAAAAACGGGTATTTTCATGTTTTTGTTAATGAGCAATCTATTAAATACACTTCATTTGTTACCCCTCTAGGACAATATGAATTTCTTAGGATGCCCATGGGTTTAAAAACTGCGCCACATGTATTTCAAAGATTTGTTAATAACATATTTTGTGATATGATAAAAGATAATAAGGTAATTGTTTACATGGATGATATTATGATAGCAAGTACAAACATAAAGGAACACATGGAGACCTTAAAGGAAGTGTTTATAAGACTGGTGCAAAACAAATTAGAGTTGAAATTAGATAAGTGTGAATTTTTTAAAAGCAGCGTTAAATATTTAGGATTTGTGGTGGATAGTAAAGGCGTTAGGGCTGATGAAAAAGGGTTAGAAGCGGTTAAATCCTTTCCAATACCAAACAAAATTCAGGGAGTACAAAGTTTCCTAGGGTTATGCTCCTACTTCAGGAGGTTCATTTTAAACTTTTCTATATTAGCTAAACCCTTATATGATTTATTGAAAAAAGATAAGAAATTCAAGTTTGGAGAAGAGGAGTTTAAGTGTTTTAATATGTTAAAAGATAAATTGTTAGAGGCGCCAGTACTATCAATATATAATTACAAAGAAGAAATAGAACTACATTGTGATGCCAGCGCAGTGGGATTTGGGGCTGTTTTATTTCAAAAAAAAGAAGATAGGAAATTACACCCGATTTTTTATTTTTCTAAAAGAACAACCGAAGTAGAGTCTAAATATCATAGTTTTGAGTTAGAAACGCTAGCCATCATTTACGCATTACGCAGATTTCGTATATATCTGCAGGGAAAACGATTTAAAATAATGACAGATTGCAACTCTTTAACTTTAACGCTTAACAAAATAGATTTAAATCCGAGAATTGCTAGATGGGCGTTAGAACTACAAAATTACGATTTTGAGTTAGTGCATAGATCGGGCAAGCAAATGCAACATGTGGATGCGTTAAGCAGATGTTATGAGGACATTTTAGTTATTGAATCCAATAGTTTTGAGGACAATTTAGTTATTTGCCAAAGCAAAGATGACAAACTGGTAGATATTAGAAAGATGTTAGAAAAAGAAGAGCACAAGCTATTCGAAATGAGAAATGGGGTCATTTACAGAAAAACAAATGATGGCAGATTAGTTTTTTATGTACCAAAGGATATGGAAGAACATGTACTTTACAAATATCATGATGAGTTGGGACATGCTGGGAGAGATAAGATGATTGATGCCATTGGAAAGAGTTACTGGTTCCCATATATTAAGGAAAAAGCAATAAAGCATATAGGGAATTGTTTAAAATGCATTGCCTTCGCCCCCAAGACGGGTAAGAGTGAAGGACTATTACATAGCATACCGAAAGGAAACAAACCGTGGGAGATGATCCATATAGACCATTATGGACCAATTAATGCAGGAAGGGCTAATAAATATATATTGGCGGTGGTTGACGGATTTTCAAAATTTGTTAGACTATATACAGCAAAGACAACAAGTACGAAAGAAGCGATTAAGGCATTAAAAGATTATTTCAGAGCGTATAGTAGACCTAAGTTCATTGTATCGGACAGAGGGAGTTGTTTTACTGCAAAAGAGTTTGATGAATTTTTAAAAAATGAGGGAGTAACGCATATTAAAATAGCAACGGGTTGTCCGCAAGCAAATGGTCAGGTGGAAAGGTTGAATAGAGACTTGGGTCCGATGATGGCAAAAATGGCGGAGCCAGAAAATGGTTTACATTGGGATGTTATTATAGAAAATGTTGAATATGCAATAAACAACACACAACACAAAAGCATAAAGAAATTTCCAAGCGAAATGTTATTCGGATTACAACAGAAAGGAAAAGTTGTTGATGAATTAAAAGAAAAATTAGAAGAGTTTACACAGGTGAACACGTGTGATAAAAGAAATTTAGAAAATATAAGAAAGAGTGGAGAAATATGTCAAAAAGAAGCTCAAATCAGAAATGAAGAGCGGATTAATAAAAAGAAGAAAGTATCAGTAGAATATAAAATAGGTGACTATGTCATGGTAAAAAAT